GCAACTCAATGGCCCGCGCGTCCAGTTCAGGCAGCTCGACATATTTGAACTTATCCTCCTGATACATCATGTCCACCTCAACTCGTTTGTGCTGATCAATGTGGAAGTCGTGCCGCGTTGTGCACTCCGGTGTGAAGGGCTTCTTGAAAAGGCCCTTAAAGTACAGCACATTCACAAGCACGGCGCTTGTCTCCGCATCAACAGCATTCGGCTGGAGGAGATCTCGAATCTTGTGCTCCGTTGCCAGCTCGACCAGCTCGTTGATCTGCTGCGTGGCTCCAGTCGAATCGGCGAAATTCAATGCCACCGGCTTATAGTTGAAGTACTCCTCCGCCATTTGGTTAAACTCCTGCTGTACGCTGAGCTTTTCATTCACAAACAAATGATTCACGGACTTCAATGTTATCCGTTTGCCTTTGCTTTTGCTGCTCAGCTGCGTCCACAGCGCCTTATACCAGCTGCCGATCTCTTGCAGATCGCCGGGTCCCAGCCGCAAGCCCGTGCGCAGCTGCTCAGCCGTTCTGCCCGCCGCACCCACTAAGGCCAGCATCAGCGAGGTTTGTATTGAGATGGGCGAAATGACGGCATTGCAGCCACGCCCCACGATACCCTTTTCAAATGCCGCCGTGTACAGCTGCCGGGCAAACTCACTGCATGCATCTGGCGTCTGGCTCATCTTCCTCTGCTTACACAAACGAAAATGTAATGGAAACAACAAATTAAAGATTTCACGCTGAAGAACTTATACTTCGATAACGAAGATCTTAAGTCTGTATAATTGATTTCATTAATGCCATTTTGACTCACATTATAATAAATAATAATAAAACTGCTTTACTGCATATAAATTCTGGTAAAATCGAAAGTGAGGCAAACCGATCAAGGGAACAGAATGTTGAATAGCAGGCCCAACCGACTCGATAGGTAATACAGTAAAGACTAACCTGCATACAATGTGAAGTGAGTCAGACATCAATTGTAATTCGCTATGAGAGATAAGATAAAGCTGAATGCCTGAACAGTTAAAGGTAAGAGCAGACCGCCTGGCTATCTCTGGGCTCCTTTCATCAGTCAGCGTATCTGCTCCTACTTAAAATTTATCCATAATAAACAACAAATTGAAAGGTTCATAAATTTAAATTCGCCTATCAATCAAAGAGGAACAGTTGGCTTAAAAGAGAGAGAGAGAGAGCAAACTTTTTAGCTATTTATTTTAGCACTTAACAGCAAATAATATGAAATGTAAGAGACAATAGAATTTAATGCTGATAAGGCTCTCTTTATTTTAGCGTGGTTTGTTTTGATTATCAATTCAAAGTGCCTACTGATGAGAGAGAGGGAGAAAGAGGGTATATAGCTACAATATTCCAATTAAAAATTAAATTAAAAAAAAAAAACATTGCCTTAAAATTGGGGTTTTTCTTTTAAATTGCTGCTTATCAGAATACATGTATGTATGTATATTATTATTGTTTTCAAAAGATTGCAAATAACACTCTTATTTTGACTTGAAGCTGCTGATAAGCATACAAATAAGATTATTAAGAATATTGTCTTTCAGTTTGAATCACACGTTCGTCGCGTCTGTGCGCCAAAAAACTTTTACGGTGCTATTTTAATACAAATCACAAGTCAATCCTAGACCCACATACGCAATTAAAATGCAACAAGTTTCGATATTAAACGGTAAGTCAAATTAAATGTTCGAACAAAAGCACCTTACTCATAAATAGAGAGTGTGCTGAAAGAGCATGACAAGTAGATGCAGTTAATAAAGAGCACGTTGAACGCAACAATAGCAAAGGGTATAACGGACACGTTACATACATATATATGCTTGCGCTGAGCTCACACAGTAGCTAGTGAGTGTGCGTTGAGACTGAATGAATTTATATAGGAAATGATCGAGGGAGAGAGGTATAGCTTACACACTTCATACTTTGCATATTTCCATACAAAGGTAGTAGAGAGTGAAATGCAGATATAACAATCTAAAAGCACTCACATACACATACATAAGCATGCAGTGGTGTATGTATATTAAGCAAAGCTCAGAGCGCTTGTAATTGAATGGGAAGAGAGGGAGTATGTATGTGCATATGTGGCAAACAGAAGTAGCAGAGAGTAAAAAGCTTTAAGAGAGAAAAGCCGGCAATTGTGTGATGTGTTTCCTAACAAACTCATACATTTGAATGTAGTACACGTATAAAAACAGCGAACACTTGTGTTTAGATGGGTGAAAAGAGAGTCGTATCTAACAGAGAGAGCAAGTAAAATAGAGGGAGCACGTTAACAGATGAGTATCCAAAAGACACGCACACATATACAGGTTTGTAAAAACAGCAAAGAACAGCGCGCTTGCCTTTAGTTGGTGCTCAGACGCCTACCTGTACAAACTAAGTGGAGGGTTGCCGCTCGTCACTGAGAAACCAAATAATTGGATAAATAAATCACACTTCGCAATTTAGAAAGCCGCAATCGCACAAGCCAAAAGCATTTGTCACTCGTATTTAGGCGAAAACAACACTTATCAAAACGGCTAAACAACACCAGCAAAACGTAGTGAACAACAAACGACGAGGTGACTCATCGACGATAGTGGGAATTACATAAAAATTTTTAAACCATTCGCAGTTGATACATTATTGAATCTCTGACATCATTCACAATATTTTCAGGCTGCGTAAACTACTCGCTGTTGCTGTTGCTGTTCTTGCTGCCGAATTCGTTTGCCCAGCTCCATAATAAAATCATGGCCAACACAGAGGGAAGCAATCTGGCCGAGTTCTCCCAACGACTGGCCGAATTCTCTAACAACTTGTATGGCAATCTCATTGCACTGAAGCCCAACACGAATGTCGTCTTCTCGCCCTTCTCGATACAAACCTGCGCGGCCATGGCTCGCCTGGGGGCCGAGGGCGAAACAGCCGCCCAACTGGACCGCGGCCTTGGCTTGGTCTCCAGCGATCCTCAGCAAATAGCCGAGAGCTTCCACCAAGTGCTCGCCGAATACGAGAAGAGCTCCATATTGCGCATCGCCAATAAGATCTACGTGCAGCAGAACTACGAGCTGAATGACGACTTCAATCGGCTGCTCTCGAAACAGTTTCTGTCGGCGGCGGAGAACGTGGAGTTCGCGCAAAGCGTTAGGGCGGCGGGCATAATTAACGCGTGGGTGGAGCAGCAAACGAATAAGCTGATCAAGGATCTGGTGCCACCTAGCCTGCTGGACGCGCAGACGCGCCTGGTGCTGATCAATGCGATTCACTTCAAAGGCAACTGGGTGCACCAGTTTCCGGAGCACGCGACGCGCAATGAGAGATTCCATTTGAATGAGGTCGAGAGCGTGGAGGTGCCCATGATGAATGTCAAGGAGCGCTTTCGCTATGCCAACCTGCCTGATCTGAACGCCGCCGCCTTGGAGCTGCCCTACAAGGACTCCGATCTGTCCATGCTAATCCTGTTGCCCAACAGCAAGACGGGTTTGCCGCAGCTGGAGCAGCAGCTACGCGGCACGCCACTCTCCAAGATCACGGAGCAGCTGCAGAGCAATCAAGTGGTTGTCAAGCTGCCCAAATTCAAAGCCGAATTCCAGGTGGAGCTGACGTCCGTCTTCAAGCAGGTGAGCAGGTGACTTCTGTCCTGGAGCGTATGTGTGTATGCCATCGCCTCGTCTACTTGCAGCTGGGCATGACGCGCCTCTTCTCCAACCAGGCCGAGTTCGGCAAGATGTTGAAGAGCCCCGAGGAATTGAAGGTCTCGGCTATCATACACAAGGCCTTCATCGACGTCAATGAGCTGGGCACCGAGGCAGCCGCGGCAACGGGTAAGTTGAGCCACTCTTCTATGGGCCTCTCCTTGTGCATCCTCATCCTCCGTACCAACCATTCCACACCTCGTCTGCGTCTCTATGTCTCTCATTCTGTCTGTTCTCATTGCTAGCCGCCGTGGTGCGCATGAAGCGAAGTGTCATTTCGATTGAACAGCCGATCCAGTTCCATGCCGATCATCCATTCATCTTTATGCTGAACCACAGGGAGCAGCTGCCCCTCTTTCTGGGCGCCGTCGTTCGACTTGATGCCGCAGCAACAACGACAACGACTGCCACAGCGACAGCCCAGCACGACGAGCTTTAGCAAGGGTATTAGAGAGGTCAACGAGCAGAAGCTACAATTACAGTTAGAATTATTTAGAAATCTTTACGGGTATTTTTTGTCAAGTTAATAAAGGGCGTTTCCCATGTACCAATCGAAACTCTCTCTCTCTCTCTCTCTCTCTCTCTCTCTTGCTCGCTCTCTATCTCTGCCTCCTTCACTATCCCCCCTTCTGTTCACTTATCTAATCAAGACTCTTTGAATTGTAAATTAATGTTCAATTGGCTTATAAATCTTATTAATACCCTAGCTACCGTTAGATTAAAATGTTGTTTATATCTAATCTATTAAATAGATGATAAACTTTGTACATTTGGCGTTAGTTCAAGTCAAGTCATAGAGCGCACTAAACCCTCTATGTATAGCTTTGATTTAGTTTATATACAGAATTACAATCATAATATTTCTATGAAGTCTATCATAATTCATTCTAAATTCTTTCTTGTCTAGTCGATCTAATTATATGAACTGCACTTAATATCAATAATACTATATACTCTATAAGCTTCTTCTCTAAGCCTCTTAGCCTAAGTCTACTCTTCTTCTACGTCTCTTATCTCTTTCTCATATCATCTCTCATATCGTATCTACGCTTTTTTCTCCCATATGGGCCCTAACTATCTGTTCTGTTGTCTTTAATCTTCTCATTTTGGACAGCTATCATCATGTGTCGTCTAACATCTTGTATGTTCGAGCCACCGCCCATTGAGTTCCATGTGAACCGTCCATTTATCTATTATATAGCCAATAGAAAGGGCGTGGCGCTCTTTGCGGGCAAAGGGCAACAATTTTAATTAGATAATATCTATATTTATATATTGTACAACTTTTGTAAGCACCATCAGATATTTGTATTACTGCATGCTTTAATAAAGTTTATAAAGTGGAACATTCCAATTAATCGGGTTATACTTTTGACCACCACATCGACCTCATAAGTAGCCCCACATTTATTCTATATATTATTTTTCATCTTTCTTCAATCCAGCAATCGTCATTAACTGTTCCTCATCTATGCTTTGTCTTCTCATTCATTCGTATAGCTCTTCTAGTCATGTGTGAAATGATGATCATCGAACCGGATCCCATTTATTTTGATGCCGATCATCCATTCCTCTATTACATAGTCAATAAGGATGCTGCGCCGCTTTTCGCTGGCAAAATTCAGACATTTTAAGAATATTTCTCAACAATTTCCGATGTCATTTAAGATTTTCTTTTCTATATGATATGATTGATTGTGATTTAATATTCCGTAATAAACTACTTTCTATGCAGATTAGTGTGCTCTTTTCCTTGTTTACTTCTCTTAGACTCAATCTACTAGTATCAATCAGTATCAATCGCCATCAGTCATCATCCATCAGCTTGCATAAGAACTCCAATATCATCTCAGACTTGGACTAATCGTGTGTGTTTTTTGTTCTTGTCTTCCGTTATGTCTTCTTCTTTACTTATAGCTATGGTCATGTGCTATGCTTCGATGCCCATGTTCCAGCCGGAACCCATCCGATTCCATGCCGATCATCCATTTATTTATTACATTGCCAACAGGCGGGGCGCGATTCTCTTTGCTGGCAAGTTCGCCAGACCTTGAACAGCATCTTCGATCTCTTCAACCATCGTAAAAACCAAATGAAACATTTCGAATTTAAGACTGCGCACGATGACAATTTATGGCACTAAAAACTTTTTTTATACTAATCCAAGCATGTTTTATAATAAACAATTAACTATCCATATAAGTGGGTCAATATATCTGGGTACTTACGCATATCTAAGGGCATTTGTACGGCTTGTTCACAGTGTTTCGCATCATGCCCGTAATGGCAATCCGACGCAAGAGATTCTTTGCCACACATCCATTCCTCTACCTGATCAAGTCGCAACGCAATCTGATACTCTTTGCCGGCAAGCATTTGGGATGAATAATACTTTGGAAAAACAAATAGAAATATTTTTATACTAGTATAAAATAAATGGAAATATGAAAGCTAACTAAATAATGTGTTTGATTGATGAGCTACTTAGAGCTGAATGCCTTATGCATGCGGGGCTACATAGATATATTGAGTAATTGGTGGAATGATTGATGAATATACCCTTAAGCCTTGTACGAATGAAAACTGAATATAAAGATTAGTGTATATTCCACTTATGTGTAATGATTGAGGCTTGATTGATGAACAAGACAAGGCTACTAGATTACACTTATGTGTAATGATTGAAGGCTTGATTGATGAACAAGACAAGGCTGATAGATTATAGTATATGCAATGGTATGATATGTTATTTGGAGTATAACTGAAGATTATTTGTGATAAAGCGCCTAGTTGATTGATGGACTGATTGACTCTGATGGACAGTTGCACTCTAAGGTCAATCTGCAAAAGATGCAAAGCTGAAAAGTAGAGTTTTTGATTGAGCAATTGATTGTCTTAAATTTCTAGGAAAACAGACAAGCAACGAAACTTGTTGAAAGGTCAAGTTTCTACAAATTGTAAGCAATTTCTGTAATACAATTTTTGTAAGTCTTAACATCTCTAAAGTGGTGGACTTTGATAACATATGTATATAATATATTTCATTGATATTTCATTTTATTATTTTTTCTTTTGTGAAGAAGCTATTGAAGCGTTGCGATGCGGCACGCAATTGCACGATTTGATAAAGTGCAAAAGTTGTGGAAAATGTTTCAGTAGATCTTAAAACGCATATCAAGATGCATTTCTTGATTTTCAGTGCTTTGCTCTGCATTTGCAGTTGCAGCTGGGCCAATGGGTCGGATACGCAATTCAATTGTAAGTTGAGTCAGGAATGTGCAAGGCTCCGTCTTTGACTCCGGCGCTGTTTCTCAGTAACCCTCTACAGGCAAATGCCCCCCTTACATCAGCTGGACGACTACGATCTGTGCCTGCAGCAGCGGCCGAGTCAGCTGCTGGCCCACAGCACCTATTGCCTGGTCTACGTGGAGCTGAGGCCCAACGGCAGCTCCGAGCTGTGGCAGCAGATCGAGCGGGTGTCCAGGGATGCGAAGCATCACTACAGACACGATCATCTCTTTGTGGGCGTTTGCGTGGAGCGCTGCAAGCGATTGCTGCACACGTTGGCCAGATTTCAGATACAGCAGCTATACGAGGGCAAGGTCGAGGACCAGGAAGTAAGTGAAATGACCCTGAGACTTACTCCCAGCTCCTATTGATCAGCTAAACTATTAGCTCAGCAGCCACTATGCCAAGGTGCACCGCAGACTATCCGACGAGCGCCTGCACTACGATCACCTGATCAACAGCTGCCTGAACAAGGAGCTCGGCTCAAAGTATCAGCTGCGCCTGCGCAGCAGCATTGAGTACTGCGAGCGAGCGAATGAGCCATTGGAGCACGGTAAGCAAGAGCAATGACATTTTTTGAGATTTTAATTTAAACAAGTAAGAAGGCTCCAGTCGAGACTGCTCGACTGGGAGATACCCTGAACCCTCCAAGCTGATATTCTAATCATTCTGCACTTCTTCTATGCACTTATAAGCACGCGCTCTGCTAACTGCGCAGTAAGCAGCGGCTACGCTTGGGCTGCGCTGCAATGTGGGCAATATTATGAGAATTTATTAGTTGAATAATTTCTCTTGTAGTAAGAGTATCTTTATGAAACTTTCAGAATGTGTTCATATAGTTAAAATGTGTGTACGTTCCAAAGCACAAGTCTCTAGTACTTGAAATGCGTTTTTTACAAATTGGGGGCGAAGGGGGCGTGGTATCCAAAATCTGTAAATTACAAAATCTTTGTGTCTATTAACTCTATATACAACGCAAATTTGAAGTCTCCTGGTTGAAAAGTGTTCAAATTAGGCTGAAAAAACAATGTCGATTTTTCGATTATTCTCGATAAAAAAGTTATCGGATGAGTTATCGAAAAAATAAAGCAAACTCGTACTGCCTATGATATACACGAGTATGCATGCCAAATTTCAGCTCTCTAGCTCTTATAACTTCTGAGATCCTTTTGCTCATACGGACGGACGGACAGACGGACAGGGCTATATCGACTCAGCTCGTCGTCCTGATCAAGAATATATATACTTTATGGGGTCTGCGATGATTCCTTCTGCCTGTTACATACTTTTCACAAAACCATTATACCCTGATTTCCCATTTTCAATGGGTTCAGGGTATAAAAAAAAAAAAAAAAAAATTATTATTAAGAAAATAAAAATTGACTTAAGCTGGCCGGTCACGCTCTCTTCCTCTACGCCACGAAAGGGAAAAATAAATAAATATTAAAAAATTAAATTATTATTAAAAAATTAATAAAACAAAAGTAATTAACTGAACAAATATTAAAAAAAAACAAGTAAGAAGGCTCCAGTCGAGACTGCTCGACTAGGAGATACCCTGAACCCTCCAAGCTGATATTCTAATCAGTCTGGACTTCTTTTATGCACACATACATACACATGCACTTATAAGCACGCGCTCTGCTGACTGCGCAGTTAGCAGCGACTGCGCTTGGGCTGCGCTGCAATGTGGGCAATATTATGAGAATTTATTTGTTGAATAATTTCTTTTGTAGACATACGATCTTAATGAAACTTTTAGAGCGTAATCATATGGCTAAAATATGTGTACATTCCAAAGCACAAGTCTCTAGTACTTGAAATGCGTTTTTTACAAATTGGGGGAGAAGGGGGCGTGGTATCCAAAATCTGTAAATTACAAAATCTTTGTATCCATTAACTTTATATACAACCTAAATTTGAAGTCTCCAGGTCTAAAAGTGTTAAAATTAGGCAGAAAAAACCAAGTCGATTTTTCGATTATTCTCGATAAAAAAGTTATCGGACGAGTTATCGAAAAAATAAAGCAAACTTGTACTGCCTATGGTATACACGAGTATGCATGCCAAATTTCAGCTCTCTAGCTCTTATATCTTCTGAGATTCTTTTGCTCATACGGACGGACGGACGGACGGACGGACGGACGGACGGACGGACGGACGGACAGACGGACAGGGCTATATCGACTCAGCTCGTCGTGCTGATCAAGAATATATATACTTTATGGGGTCTGCGATGATTCCTTCTGCCTGTTACATACTTTTCACAAAACCATTATACCCTGATTTCCCATTTTCAATGGGTTCAGGGTATAAAAATCCTAAAATAAATAAGAAAAATAAAAATTCAGTGATTAATGAATTAATTAATATATATGTAATATTGTGTATGTAGCTAGATTCGAACCCCGGTCCATACGCTCAGTCAGTCTATTTTTATACCCTGAACCCATTGAAAATGGGAAATCAGGGTATAATGGTTTTGTGAAAGGTATGTAACAGGCAGAAGGAATCATCGCAGACCCCATAAAGTATATATATTCTTGATCAGGACGACGAGCTGAGTCGATATAGCCCTGTCCGTCTGTCCGTCCGTCCGTCCGTCCGTCCCTCCGTCCGTCCGTATGAGCAAAAGGATCTCAGAAGATATAAGAGCTAGAGAGCTGAAATTTGGCATGCATACTCGTGTATACCATAGGCAGTACGAGTTTGCTTTATTTTTTCGATAACTCATCCGATAACTTTTTTATCGAGAATAATCGAAAAATCGACTTGGTTTTTTCAGCATAGTTTGAACACTTTTAAGCCTGGAGACTTCAAATTTGCCTTGTATATAGAGTTAATGGACACAAAGATTTTGTAATTTACAGATTTTGGATACCACGCCCCCTTCGCCCCCAATTTTTAAAAAACGCATTTCAAGTACTAGAGACTTGTGCTTTGGATTTTACACACATTTTAACCATATGATTACGCTCTGAAAGTTTCATTAGGATTGTGTGTCTACAAAAGAAATTGTTCAACAAATGAATTCTCATTTGCCCATGAAATCTATTGCCCACACTGCAGCGCAGCCCAAGCGCAGTCGCTGCTTACTGTGCAGTTAGCAGAGCGCAGGCTTATGCGTGCGTGTGGATGCATGTGTAGGTATGCGTACATAAAATAAGTGCAGAATGATTAGAATATCAGTTTAGAGGGTTCAGGGTATCTCCTAGTCGAGCAGTCTCGACTGGAGCCTTCTTACTTGTTTTTTTTTTTTTATAAATAAATGAAGAATTAATAAATAACACCCAAAAAAGAAATTTTTAATAAATAAAAAATAATATATTCCCTATAAAATATCAATCATAATCATGCCATCATCCAGACTCCCTGCCAAAACGTCTCACCCACTTTAAGTATTTATTAAATATTTTTATTAAAAATCAAATCCATTTCAGATGCTCTCGATGTGACGGTCTATGCGCTGCTCGCTCTGCTGCTGCTTTTAACCATAGTCTCGTCCAGCTACGATTTCAGCTTGAAGCGCAGGCAGCCGCTGACAAGCGCGGCGCGTGGGAGTCTCTTCTATCAGCAGGCGCTCAAGACAAGAGGTGGGCACAGATCTATATATGTGAATGTATAGAAAGAAAGCGAGAGATTATAATCCCTAAGTGTTGCTCCTTCTATTCGCTAACAGCTCAACAATTTCTGTGCTGCTTCTCGCTCTGTCGCAACTATTATCGCCTGATTCGGCCCCCGAGCAGCGATTTCTCGCGCGATCTGCGTTTCTTCGATGCATTCCGTGTGATTGGAGTATTTGTCGTAATCCTGGGGCACACTTTGATGATCTTTATGACGCTGCAGCTGCAGAATCCCGAGTTCTTTGAGCTCTATCTGTACAGATTCGAGACGTCCTTGTTTCAGAATGGAAACGCAGTCATCCAAATATTTTTCGTAATGAGCGCATTTTTGCTCTACGTCAACTTTACGGAGCGAGAGTGGATCAATAACTCCTCCAGTGTTTTCAGCTGCATCGGAGTTTACTTTCGGGTATTTTTCAATAGGTATTTCCGACTGTTGCCCTCGTTAGTTCTACTGATACTCTTCAATGGATCCGTTCTGACTCGTCTGGGCGATGGTCCCTTCTGGCGGCACCTGACAGAGGCGGAGAGAACTTTTTGCCGGGAAACCTGGTGGAAGAACGTATTCTTTGTCAACAACTATATGCTGCAAGAGAGTGTAGGTATTACACTTAGAGAAAAACCTTGATTAATTCAAGAACTACACAGTTATTTCCCATAATACAAATTTTTCCCAGTGCGCTCAGCAAACCTGGTATATGGCAGCCGATATGCAGCTCTTTGAGCTGTTTCTAATAATTATTATCGTAACAAAAAAGTAAGTTGATTGTCATTATGGAGAGCATACTTTTGGAACTACCCTCTTGCAGGCATCCAGCATTAACTAGATACATCTATGCACTGCTAATCATCGCCATATTCGCTGTGCCTGCTTCAATCACATATTATCTAAGCCTGGATGCAGTCTATCACATGAAGCCAGAGTGAGATAACCTAGAGTAAATATTATAAATTTTTCATATACTATATTTTTTTTAACAGAACCTATCGCTATTTATATTTTCGCAACTCGGAGACGTTCGACCAAATATACCCGCCTTTCTACACAAACTTGGGCGGGTATTTCATGGGCTTTCTGTGTGCTCAATTCTATTTGAAATTTCTACCTTTGCCAGAGGCGAAGAGCTCCAAAGGCAAATGGCAACTGGAACTAGGCCTGTGGCTCTTAGTCTTGGTTATTCTGCTAATTCTCTTCTCTGGCTATATATTCATCAAATTCGATTTTGAGAAGCCTTCCATCTGGCTGGCTCTCTACGCGGGCGTCTATAAGAATTTGTGGATTCTAACGTGTGCGGGCTTTGTGTGTTGCATGTGCTTTAAAGTGGGATGTAAGTGAAGTAGACTTTTCTCTTTTCATTTTGACACTCTCTTAATACTGAATCTCTCTGCTTTCCTTTGCTCCTTGCAGGGCTGGCGTATGAGTTTTGCTCTCTTTCTGTGTTTCGACCACTGGCGCGCATTTCCTTTCAAGCGTTTCTTTGGCATGTTTTTGTTCTACGGGTTGTCGCTGGCTCTTATCGACAACCTGTTTATGTAAACAGTTTCTTTTTGGTATGTTTCTATTACTAACATACATGATTATATTTTTATTTGTTATTCTTTCAGTTTCAATATGTAGTTCTGGTTTTTGTGCTTACGCAAATCGTTGCTTTCTTTATGGCGCTCCTATTCGAATATCCACTGATAGAGCTATTTAAACTGATCATGATGCACCACAAGACATCAAAACAAACGACAAGCAGTTTTCAAATCGATATGAATGCACGTTAGAGTTAATTTTAAATAATGTTTTGCTTTAATTCATTGGGATAATCAAAAATTAAATAATAATAGCAAACATATATTTTTGTTGGTACTATGGTCACTCTATTTTATTTAAATTTCAAATAATGTTAAGTATTAAAAAGTTAGGGTGACCAGTGGCAAATTTGTTATTATGTATTGTAGTATTTGGTATTTTATGACTTGTACAGCTGTTGTATTATTCCACTCTGCTAACTGCGGTCACACTGCCTGGTTGTTCAGTTTTGTTTTCTCTCGTCTCGCTCGTCGGCGTTTTGCTACGTTTCGTCTGCTCGGTGTTACCGCAAATTCTTGAAACAGTTCACAACAACAAAAGTGCGAAATTTCAAATTTCTCCAATACTCAATATACAACAAGTGCACAAGTGCCCTAGCATAAATGCTAAATTAATGTGAGTGTTTAAAATTTGTGTGTGTGGGAATATTTTATTTTGGTGGAATTTCTGTTCTGCGGCAACTTTGGCATTTCAAATACAAATGTCAATGAATCATTGTGGCACTTTGTATAGCTAACCATCAAGTGGCAGCCATTTGATTTAATTTATTAATCATTAATCAAGTAATTTACTAATAAGCTTACATTTAAATAATGTACGCGCGTATTACAAAATCATTCAAAATCACGGCAAATAAAATAAGTGCGACAATTGTGATAGTATGCGTGTGTTTGTCTGCATGTGTGTGTGTGCATGTGTGAGTATGTGTTCATGTGTGAGTTGCCCGCGCGCTTGTGTACGTGTGCGTGTGCTGAGTGGTGAGCGCAATGCATGTGAAGAGTGCAGCTATAAAATGTTGCCACATGCGCTCCCGCTCCCACACAGTGTTATATGAGTCGCAACACTCCAAAAAAGGGAATAAAAATGAGAAGCGTCTTGGACAGCGCCAACAACAAAAAGACCGAACGCCGAAAAATGTTGCAAAATGAAAGAAAAGCAAACAAAACGAAAGCAAGCAAGCAAGCAAAAGATTTCTGCGTTTCTCGCCTCGCACACACAAAGACTCACACTAATACACTTATTTAAATTAATTGTTTTTTATTCTTTCGTCTTTAGCTGTAATTTTCGTGTGTGTTTTGCTGTGGTTGCCGTTGCCCGCTCTTTGCTCTCACATTTTCCGGCTAGCTTGTTTATAATGTTCTGGTTAATAGCTGAGAGAGCGGCTGAGGCACAGAGCGACAGAGAGAGAGAGAGAGAGAGACGAGAGAGTGCCCAATTGTTGCTCTGGAAGCAACAAGTTAGATTGAAAAACAGTTATTTAGGCGGGGGTGTTCGAATCCGTGCAATTAGTTTGGTCAAGGAAATATACCCTGTAAGTTTGGAGAGTGGAAAAAATTAGATATATAATAAGTTTCTGAAAATATATAGAACATATACCAATGTAAAAAGTCTTAGAGCTATATTGGGAATTAGCATCTAATTTTTGTACAATATCAATCAAAGTTAGTCTGTAGGGTAACCGCTAGTCAGGCAATCTCATTTAAAGTACTCTTTAACTGTTTTTAACTGTGGGCGCATGCGATAAGCCGTAATTGAAATATTGTGGCAAGAAACGTGGCTTCAAGTTGGCCAAAGCGTTGAATTACACACATTTCCAGCAGTCACACAGGCAGTCTCTTTCGCTCTTTATATGAGTGCGTTTGTATGTGGGACTGTATGGGTATGTGTATGTGTGTGCGTGTGTGAAACAAGTGTGAAAAACAAACGACCTCCAGCAGCGCACGTCTGCGTCTGCGTCTGCGTTTACGTCTGTGGCGCTCTCTTAGAAAGTGTAAGAGCGCGTGCGAGCACGCCCCCCACGCATAGCTGTTGTCGCTGTAGTTGTTGTTGTGGCTGCTGCCAGGCGTTGTCCAAAAATGGGTTAAGCAACGGCGGCGAAAAAGCAAGAAACGCAGCAAACGCCAATTAGTGACAAAATAAAAATGAGAAACGCATGCAGTGTGTACGTGTAAGTGTGTGCGTGTGCGAAATTTGTATGCAAATTAAATGACAGCTCACTCTGGGGAAAATTAGCAAATTTTAAGTCATAAAAAGTTAGTTACGCAAATACATTCGATTAGCTCAATTGTCTAATCTTGTATATTTCAAATATATGTTTTATCATAATAGAGTGGAGATGCCATGTAGCAAAAACCTTTTATTGAAAGCAGCTGTAGTAAAAATATTTTGTTGTTTGAATAGGTCTTTGTTGTCCACAGTGCAGTGTCCAAATAGCAACAGCAACAACAAATGCCGCCAGTCTGACTAGGCATAAATGCGGCAGAAATAGCAACAAGTAGACGCGAAACGGAGAAGCGTCGTGCAATTAAGAGAGCAACAACAACAAGCAATGCATAGTTAAATTTAGCAGCCGAGTTCCACTTTCACTCGGCGGCGACACCGACACCCACCGATGTGCTCACCCTCCTCTCTCTCCCTTGCTCGTTCGCTCGTGTTTGAGTTGCATGTTATTTGTATTGAGTGCGTGCCGTGATTTTTGCGTTGGCACGAATGAAAATGAATATGCGTATAGATAAGTATAAAACGCATAGCAAACTTGAAGCGAATTTGAATTGAATTGGTTAACTGCAGCAAGCAAAATGTAAGTTAACTATATTCTAATAGATGATGATGCATCATTAGAGTATTCGCCCTGTCACCACAGCACGCGCACATCTCTAGCGCTGACAAACGTTTGTCTCAGGGAAGACACTTGCGCGCTTTTTGTCAAGATTTAAGTTAATCGCACAGGCAACGGGCAACATCGGCAGCAGCAGCAGCAGCGGCAGCGGCAGCAACAGCGACAGCAGTTTGATGAACCTAAGTACAACAAGTCAGTCCAATCACGATGACGATGTATTTGCTGTTGTTGTTGCATGCCATTGGCAATTATAGTAATGCTTAATGACATCATCAGCCGCAGCGCAGCCCAGCGCTGCAACGAACAGCAGCAGCTGCATTCGCAATATGCAAGCGAAAGTTTCCATGCGAGGCTCGATGACTGATAAGCGCTGCACTTGCAGCTGCAGATGCTTATCAGGCAGTCGCAGTCGCGTCTGGCATTAATGATTCATTTGCCACCTACACAAATACATAAAACAAAACAATAATTATACACAGTAAGAAAATGTTAATGTGGCTTTAAATAAAACGGAATTGAATTAAATTCGCCGCACTTACAATGCAATTGCTTACTCACGGTTTGCTCGCATCTCTCTATCTCTCTCTTTTCTGTCATACAGGAAGTTTACAAAAGAAGTAGTCAAATGACACTAGGCGAATTCATGGCTAATATTTATATTTTAGTTCATTTGCTCTCGCTCTCCCTCTCTTCATTTTGCCTGTGAGCTTATACAGGAAGTTTATTTAAGGAAAGGAGTGGTCTAGTGGCAAGGCATGCGCCTCGTAAGCCAGTCTATGCTGATTCGATTCCCGCCAGCTGTTTATATTGTTATGAAGCATTAATTAAAAGCTTTTACATTTTTTTTTTTTTTTTTTTTCAATTTATTTTATTTGTACTGTGTAGCATATGTACATATGTATATATTATTGTCATTGTTATTGTTAGTGCAATTGTTATTTATGTGTTGCTTATGACACATTCACACCGTCCGTTGTCATCTAATTAGATGTTCGGCTTTATAACGGGCTGCATTAGCATTGTGCAGCAGCCAATTGGAGCGGCACTCCTTTGCGCTCTGGCTGGCCCCACTTGCCACTTGCCCGTTGCCAGTTGCCACTTTATCCATTGACCGCTTCGCGTTTGTCATTTCATTTCTTACACTCGCTTGCATAGCACAGTGAAATATTACAACAACGCTTAATTGACGACTGCGACAGCGACTGTGCCGTTCCCTCTCTCGCTCTCTCTCACTCTCTTGATGCTCGCCCTTTTTGCGCTTTGGTTTTTAGAGTCACGCCGCCAAGCGGGGCAGCAAATGTTGTTAGCAATTAGAATTGGCCGCTGAACGTTTCGACAAAGCGTTAAGATTTGCAATCAAGCATTAAGTCAATTTGTGGCCACGTCGCTGTCGACGTCGCAGCCTCAGCAGCAGCAGCAGCAGCAGCGGCGCGTTACAATCATCAACTGATGAACCGATCAGCGGGCTGCATCGTAATGAGAAATGGCCTGTGGAAGCTGTTGTGAACAGTGTTGCCAGATTAGCTATTTAATAGCATTTTTAGCTATTTTTGAACCCTAAATGCTATGAAAATTTTGAAAATGCTATTAGCTATAAATTTAGCTATTTTACAAACGAATATTTTGAATTTGATTTTAGTATTTAAAGCAAAAAAAAAAACATTTTTCGATTAAGTCCCAAATTGTACGTAATGATCTGCGCGATACTACCACCACGACTTTGTCGTACTTATACCATCACTAGTTGTGAATTTATACCATCGCTAATTCTTCTTGCGCAGCAATGGCAAATGCCGCCATGATTATACCGTGCCTTCCAAATATTTAAAAATGATTCCAGTTAATCAAAAATATAATTCTGATGATGATTTGGATGTGGACCAAATTGTAACATTATTAAATAACATTTAAAAATAAAATTTAAAGTAAATGCATAATGCATAAAGGTTTCAGCTTTTTTGTAAGCTATTTTAAAATTTGTTTAGCTATTTTCAGCTATTTTTATACCCTGAACCCATTTTCAATGGGAAATCAGGGTATAATGGTTTTGTTGAAATGTATGTAACAGGCAGAAGGAGGCGTGGCCGACCCCACAAAGTATATATATTCTTGATCAGGGCGACGAGCTGAGTTGATTTGGCCCTGTCCGTCTGTCTGTCCGTCTGTCCGTCTGTCCGTCTGTCCGTATGTATGAACGCGTCGATTTCAGAAGATATAAGAGCTAGAGACTTCAAATTTTTTTTAAAATGTCCGTAATTACAGCGCGCATATCAAGTTTATCATTAAAAATCGATACCTCATCCCGATTTTTTTTTATCGATAAAAACCTTATCGAAAACCAGGTTTAAAATTATATCTTCTACACCTTTATTGCTAGAGTCTCCAAATTTTTAATGTATGCTTATATGCAATTTATACAATTT